TTATAGCAGGTGACATGATTAAGAATTGTTCCCCCAAGTGTAAATGTGTATTTTTTGTCAGTAAGGCGAGGTTTTTTCTGGAAGATCATGATTTTGGACTTGTCCATGTTGATGGGTAAGGCCCAGTCGCTGCTGTACTGGTCCAGAAGCGAGAGGCTGTGGTGCAGACCCTCTTCATGAGGAGACAGCAGCAGAAGATCATCAGCGTACAGGAGGCTTTTGATTTCTCTGTCCTCGAGGGTCAGACCAGGACAAGAGGACTTCTCAAGTGCTGAGGCCAATTCATTAATATAGATGTTAAAGAGAGTCGGGCTGAGGCTGCAGCCTTGACGGACTCCTTTAGTTTGACTGAAATAATCAGTACGTTTGTCATTAATCTTCACCCCGCACTTGTTCCCGTTGTAAATGTCCTTTATAATGTCATATGTCCTTCCTCCTATTCCACTTTGGATTAGTTTTAGGAAAAGTCCATTATGCCATACCGAATCAAAGGCTTTTTTAAAGTCAATGAAGCAGCCAAATATTTTGCCTTGTTTTGTTTGTTGGACGTGTTTTTGTATGAGTGTGTGGAGTGTGTAGATGTGGTTTGATGTTCTCTGTTTAGGCATAAATCCAATCTGAGAACTGTTAAGGATCTTGTGTTGTTGGAGGAACTGAACTAGCCTGTCGTTGATGATGGAGCAGAAGAGTTTGCCCAGGTTGCTGCCCACTGTGATGCCCCTGTAATTATTTGGGTCGTACTTCTCGCCCTGTTTAAAGATTGGGGTAATCAAATTTTCTTTCCATGTCTCAGGAAAGTGTCCTGCTTTTAATAAAAGATTGAATAATTTGAGAATTGCCTCTTTCAGTTTGGGGCTGCTGTGTTTCAGCATCTCATTTGATATTAAGTCCATGCCACAGGATTTTTTATTTTTTAGGGATTTTATCTTGTCTGTTAGTTCAATTAGTAATATGGGCTGGTCTAACTGGTTTAGCTGGTCTTTTACGGTGCGTTCCAGGTTATGGAGTTGGGAGGTCAGGTGTTTTTGGGTGAGGGTTGGTTCGTTTTGGGAATAGAGTTTTCCAAAATGTTCGGTCCAGATGTTTGGGTCATGGATGGGAATGTGTTTTGGTTCTTTTGATTTATCTAATTTTTTCCATAATTCCCAAAAAGAATTCTGATCTACTGCCTCCTCAATCTTATTAAGCTTTGATTTCATGTGATCCGCTTTTTTCTGTATTAGTATTGACTTGTATGTTTTGAGGGTTTGCTGATATTTGTCTCGTGTTTGTTGGTTTGCAGGGTCTCTGTGTTTTATATTTGATAATGATCTTAATTCTTTTCTTAATTTTTGGCACTCTTTATCAAACCAACCATCTTTAGCAGTTTCTTTCTTACATCTATAATTTTTTCTTTTTCTCAGGGCTTTTCTGACCACTGTAGAAAATATTTCGTTTAATTGGTGAGTTGCTAAATTGATAATTTTCTTCTCTTCACTAAATGGAGTAGATAGAAATGAATCTATCATGTTCTGGACCCGGGTGCTGTGGAGCTGGGCTTCATACTGGGCAGGACTGTCTTTACCCCATATAAATGTGGAGGGGAGGGGGTGCAGTTTAACCTTCGGGTCTGAAGGCCGGAGATTCACGGATCTGTTCAGACTGAGGACTGTGTGACTGTGGTCTGATAATGGCAGCTGTGGCATGACTGTGTAATAGTTGAGTTTACTGTGGTCTACATCAGTGATGGCGTAATCTACTGCGCTGCTGCCCAGATATGAGCAGTAGGTGAACCGACCCAGAGAATCTCCCTTTGTCCTGCCGTTGACTATATACAGGCCCAGGCTTTTGCAGAGCTGCAGGACTTGTTTTCCGTGCCTGTTTATCGTGTTGTCATAATTCTGACGTGCCTTCGTAAAGTGTTTCCGTTGATATATATGTGAGTTGTTAATATATTTGTCTCCATCTGAGGTAATGTAATCCGCTTCCTTCCCCGTTCTAGCGTTCAGGTCCCCCATTAACAGAACCGACCCTAGAGCTTGAAAGTAAACGATCTCTGACTGTAGGGTTGGGAAGATGTCTTCATTATAATAAGGAGACTCGTATGGGGGGATGTATATGCTCAAGTACATATACATCTCTCTCGCTCTCTCTCTCTCTCTCTCTCTCTCTCTCTCTCTCTCTCTCTCTCTCTCTCTCTCTCTCTCTCTCTCTCTCTCTCTCTCTCTCTCTCTCTCTCTCTCTCTCTCTCTCTCTCTCTCTCTCTCTCTCTCTCTCTCTCTCTCTCTCTCTCTCTCTCTCTCTCTCTCTCTCTCTCTCTCTCTCTCTCTCCCTCTCTCTCTCCCTCTCTCTCTCTCTCTCTCTCTCTCTCTCTCTCTCTCTCTCTCTCTCTCTCTCTCTCTGCTCGTTTGCGTCCTGTCAAGCGCAGCAGTCTTTCTATTCTACATCACTCACCGATAAAAAAAGGCTTTGGCGGGACACAAATTTGTTTTGGCAGCCGCTAAAAAGCGGACGATTTGACGGGTTTTAAAAGATTAAATACAACCCGAAACTAAAAAACAGACCCCGCCTCTATTTGAGACTGGCCTTTATTTACCCAAACCTGTCGCCACTCGCCACATCAGGCGTGTAAAAGAGACCGGCGTCTATATGGGACTCGCTATTATTTGAAGTTTTACGGTATGTGTTGGATGTACCCTGTATGAATAATAGTGCAAGCATTTTTTTAATGACAGATTGCCCCTCAGATTGCACCTTATGTGTTATGCATTATCCTAGATGTCACAGTAAGGGGCTATGTATTTTCTTTAACTGACTATATATTTGTTCCTCAATGTTTCCTTTAGGAATTGGGGATATTCAAATTAATTAACCAATCATTAATACCATTGATCAGCCCTACCTAACGTGGATGTTTTTTCCACTAAGAAACAAACATTGTTATGTTATTTTGATTTATACTGTGAAGCTTTGATACAATTGTGAAAAGCGCTATATAAATATACTTGACTTGACTTGAATTGTGTTCGTGTTTTTGCAACACAAAACGTGTTGGATGTACCCTGTGTACTAGGAATAGTGCAAGCATTTATTTATTTTTATTGACATAGACAGATGTCTTTTCTTTTTACAGATTGCACACATGTGTGTATGTTATGTATTGTGACAGGGGCTATGTATTTTCTTTTATTAAGGCCTACTTGAGCATATACAAATTTGCTCACTAAGAACCTGTGAACCACAATCCCAAACTGGCAGTTTGATTTTCTGTGTACTGAATTGTTTATCTAAAGTAAACTTGTTTGAATTTTATCCACATCATGTCTTTTTTTTTTAAATAATACTTTCTAAAATTGTAGTCCTACTTTAAAAAAATCGCAATATATCGCCTTATGCACAGTATCGAAATATATCGCAATATATTGAATCGTGACCCATGTATCGCGATACGTATCGTATCGCCAGATTCTTGCCAATACACAGCCCTACAAGTAATCATTTGGTTTTATTGAACAACACTGTTAAAATACATAATGTAATATACATAATATAAACTTAAGTAACTTATGCACATTATACTGTATGTATTGGTTTCAAACGCGGCCAGGCAATGAGACCACCCTGCTCTCGGTTATTGAAGCTGGCAAGAACAGCTTCCAAATCATCAGTACTCATCTTGCAGGATCTGTTTGCTGCTTTTGACACAGTTAACCACCAGATCCTCCATTTAACCTTCATGACGAAGGGTATCTCAAAAAACACACTCCACAGTCTTGGAGGGGTGAGGTGTCTAAGTTGAAACATCTAGTTAGCTACTGGGGTGCCTCAGGGCTCAGCGCTTGGACCACTTCTCTTCTCCATATACATATCATCACTAGTATCATGTGCCATTCAGAAACATGTTTTTTCTTATCACTGCTATGCTGATGACACACAACACTACCTCTCAGCCAGATGTTCCGACAGTAGCTGCTCGCATCTCTGCCTGACAGACATTTCTTGCTGGATGAAGGACCACCACCGTCAACTAAACATTGCAAAGACTGAACTGCTTATGGTCTTAGCCAACCCAACACTTTGCCACAACTTCTCCATTCAGCTAGGTTCGTCAACCATAACTCCATCCAGGACAGCCAGGAACCTTTGAGTTGTGACTGATGATCCCAGAACACATTGCTGAAAGTGCCCAGTCCTGCAGATTTGGCTTATACAACATTTTATACAACAGCAGGCTACACAACTCCTTGTCCAAGCTCTTGTTCTAACCAGACTGGACTATTATAATGCTGTCTTGGCAGGCCTTCTAGCATGCACTGTCAAACCTCTGCAACTGATTCAGAATGCTGCACCAAGAGTGGTCTTTAACAAGCTGAAGAAAGCGCACGTCACACCTCTCTTCATAAACTTGCACTGGTTGCCAAATGCTGCTCGCATCAAATTCAGCGCACTGATGTTTGCCTGGAGAGCAACCACTGGCTCTGCAGCCCTATACCCCATACTACGTCAGACTTACTGTAGCATGAAACACTAAGCGTTTCATACTTTATGCGTTCCCAATTGCACGTTATTGGAAACCCAGACTGGAGCATTTACTGTGAACGGAGCCGCACTGAGACGGACGAAACTCGTAACCTGCACGCATGTAAAAAATTAAAGTGTTATGCTTTCCCCTGAAATAACTGAATCACATCATATGTGGAAGCCTGTTGCCAACTCGGAGTAAAAATTAAAGCAAGCAGTTGTTTGTGAGATGAAGTTCAAAATAAGAAATAAAGTCACAGTGTGAAAAAGGCAAAAATTATCAAACTTTTCCCTAGTTTGCTGCTTGTACCACTTAAAGCTAACCTCTGGCTTTCTTCAGATATTGTATTATAGACCTCCGACCTAGACACATTCAAAAGTATTTCTAGTCTACTTATATAACAAGGTTAAAATCAGACTTTGGTTTCTTATAAACCTTTATATCCCACCTGAAGCCTCTCTCTTTATTTCTCTGACACTTCCACTTCCGCCCTACTCACCCAGAGGCATGCCGATGCCGTAGCCCTTGGTGTCCAACAGGCCTCCTATCTGTGTGAGGTTGCAGTTGAGGCGTCGGTAGTACTCGTTCATAGTGCTCTCCAGAAGAAAGGCGTATTTGGAGTTTAAAACCCGTGCTATGCCCTCCTCCGTGCTCTTCACAAACACACTAGGCTGCTTGGAGTACATGTAATTCCACATGCGCTGGTACGTCTGATAGCGCGAGTTCTGAGAGTGAGAGTGCAGAGTGGGTTTGTCATCACAGATGAAAGTCATTGGAAAAGACAGAGAGAGAAAAGAGAGGTGAAACAGACATAGTATTGAAAGGCGGAGAAAAATCAAAGACGAAATTATATTTGCGGTGACATGAGGACAGGTGAATGAATAAAGAGACATTTTATTGGCAGACATTGAGAGTGAACTAGATTAAGGTAACATATTGAAGGAAAGTGAAAATGTAAGGGAAAGAAAGATGGATAATAAATTATTAATGTAATAGGGGAAGTGAACTTGGCCTCCAGTGTGAATATAAATGTAGCAGTGACTCACTAAGCCAACTGCTTGCTGCCATAAACAGGACATGATGCATTATAACGTCATTTAAACCACATGCACAAACTAGTCGATTAGCTCTACTGCTATTTAAATCGTTGGATGCATTTCGACTAATCGTGTATCACATGATTTCAGCTCCACTCGTTTTGTTTTTTTCATCCTGTATTTTAAATTATTTACACAAGGTAAACACTGACACGCACACTAGTCGACTACTTTTCTGAGCAATTAGCCATATTAGCAATACTTGATCATTAAATCAGCATATTAGAATGATTTCTGAAGGATCATGTGACTATAAAGATTTGAGTAATAATGCTGAACATTCAGCTTTGCAATCACAGGATTGAAAAGTTATTTTAAGCATAAGAGACTTCTTTCAAAAACATTAAAACACCTTGCTGATGCAAAACTTTTGAACAGTACTGTATAAATATTGTCAGTATTATTAAAATATATATATATATATATATATATATATATATATATATATATATTAATATTAATTAATACCTACACTGTACATGCAAAAGGTGGGTCTTGTATAGAACTTTGTGAATGAAGGGCATTTCAATTTGTGGAAATCTGAAGCTTTCTGTGAAGTTCTGTCAGCACAGATTACGCGTGGGCCTGTATATGTGTCACTAGTCCAGTTACCGCCATAAACAGGAAGTGATGCATTGTGACATCACATGTGCACACATGGAAGGCCAGTGAAACAAATCACACACACAAATTTCACACAAACACGTTTGCACAAACAAGGCCCTACGTACCATGAAGAAGGTCATAGTACTTCCTCCTTGAATAGTCCCGTACTGGATGTTCGTCTGATCTGCCAAGTCATCAGCAGATTCGATTGGCACCTCCATTCTCTGGACCGTCAGAAAAGCTGCAAGGTTTGCCGTGTAGGAGGAAATGATGATCAGCGTAAATGCCCACCTGTCCCGTACACACAGGAACACAGCGTTTTTTTCCACCAGAAATATAAATGCACGTATATTAGAGACAGATGCTTACATTAGACACCGGTGTTTGCAGATATGCTTACATACAAACATCACTCATTGAAATATTGAAAGACACCCACAGCTGCAATATCAACCAGATGAACCTAGTTTGATCAAATGCAAAACAGCAAGCTAAAAATAAAAAAAGATCAGTGAATAGTGTTTGCAAACTCTGTGGAATTATCCGTAATGTGAATGAATTAAGACATGATGACAGATTACCCATTTAACTAACACTCTTATTCATGCCAGGTGTTCTTCTAACCAACAAAAGTTGGTTTTGGCAAGTTCTTCTTCCACTGTAGAAAAAACAAGTTGATAAACTGGTTTAAACAATGTTCAGGAATGCTGTTAACCAGTTCAACCAGTCCCCCGCTAGAGCCAATGTGGTCTACTAGCTCTGGTCAGGATAGTCTGCCAGGTTGACCTCAGCACCACTAATTGGTAGTCCAGTTGGTCAGACGCCTAACTAGCTTTAACCAGGTAAAAAACAAGCCATGTTCTTGTACACAAATAGTCAACATAATATTCCAAAGAAAAAAAGTATTTATGCTCTGTTGAATCTGAAATGTTTAAGTCAGAAATCCATCACATTATGAAAGAACACTGCCATTCAAAAGTTTGGGGTGGGTAAGTTTTATTTTTATTTTATTTAAATATGCTCACCAAGGCTGCATTTATTTGATTAAAAATGCAGTGAAAACCAGTAATATTATGAGATAATATCACTGTGTAAAATAACTTTTTTCTATTTTAATATATTTCAAAATGACCTTTATTCCTGTGATGGCAAAGCTGAATTTTCAGCATCATTACTCCAGTCTTCAGGGTCACATTGCCCTTCAGAAATCATTAGAATATGCTGATTTATTATTAGAGTTGTTTTGTTTAATATTTTTGTGGAAACCACAATATTTTTTTAGGACACTTCTATAATTCAAAAGAACAGCATTTATTTGAAATAGAAATCTTCTGTAACATCTTTACTGTCATTTTTGATCAATTTAATATGTCTCTAGCCGAATAAAAGTATTGATTAAAAAAAACCTCTCACTGACCCCAAACTTTTGAACAGTAGTTTGTGTGTTTGTATGATAGGAATTTTTAGTAGGAAGTTTGAGAGCCCTTCCAAAACACATGGATTGTGCTCTTAAGTAAATCATGCTCAGATGAAAGGAAACTTCTCAATTCCTCAGAGAAAGAGCTTTCATGAGACTGGTGAAGCATTTAAAACTTTTCTAAAGAGACTGGCCTCCAAAAATGCACAAACAGGCAGATAAGTTACTTGTTATTTAGTAAAAGCTCTTTATCAAAAATTAAAGTGCACCAATTGCAGACACGCGTCCCCCAGAGCATCACAGAGTTCAGCGTTGTGCTGAGGGACACAGTGGAGATAGACGGGAGCTCTCTGGTTTCTGGGTCACCCCTGTTTGGGATTAAAGTTGCATCTATTGTGTTTATTCACACCACAGATGATTAAACATTTGGCTTCCACTGCATGCACAGATCAAATCATTTCAACTCCATTGTTAGTCTTCCTGAAAGTGGTTGTTCAACTTAAAATGACCTCAACAGCAAGCCGCAAGACTGAAATTGAAGAGATGGAACACAAGACAGCTTGACTTGATATAGCGAAATGAACAGAGGTGGGAGACTAATCTGGAAATACACTACAAAAGAGCGAAGCGCACAATACATGTCTGCACACAAAAACAAACATCCCCATACAAACTTCAATACACTTTACACTTTCAATAAAAGAAAAGACACACTCTTAATGGTCTCTTCACACAGAGAACAGATTTTCAGTGCATGTTAAATTGAAATAACGCATCCCCATGTGTGAAAATCTGCCCAACAGAAAATGTTTACACCTATAGGTCATTTTTTTTGTTTACTTGGCCAGAAAAAAAAAAAACACACACACACACAAAAACCAAGACCTACCAACAAATTTGATATGAGTGATTATTCAGCTAGAGGCACTTCACATGAAATCTTGAAAAATGTAAATTCTTTCAACTATTTAATTTATGTTTAAACATGCCCTGGAATAAAAAGATGATCTTGGTGTTGGTTAACCTTCAAGTAGATTTTGGTAATATAATGCTAGTGTGGATTTTTGTACTTGCTCACACCACCAAGTTAGGCAGCAGTCAATGAAAATATGAATATTTATATCAATAAAATAATTAATTTACATTTAAATATGAATATTTATATAAATTAAATAATTTAAATATGAACATTTAAATATGAATAGATATGAAAATAAAAAGAACTGTTTTATCTGTCCCTCTTCTCATTTTCATCATGAAATATAGGCTTTTTTGGGGGAAAATGTTTCTCAAAAACGTTTGGTGCAATGGTAATATTGGTGACTGATTCTTTGTCATAAAAAAAAAAAAAAAAAAAAGTATACCGATAAAATTAACTGGAAATACGTTTTAGGTTCATTGGCAAAAGTGCAGTATAATTAACTTTTTATGCATTTATTATAAAAGGGAAGTTATAAAGTCTGGGTTGGGACAAAAGCACAAAATAGAGAAATTCTGGGAAATCTAACCATTTAACAATCATATTCTAACACTAGAAAAAGTAATTAAAGAGAAACAATACAAAGTTTAAAGCTATTATAATCTTTCTAGGATTGCATTAAAAAATCTTCAAAATCCTCATTGGGTACAGAAAAGTTCCAGAAACTAAAGATTTGTTTAAACAAATAAATAAATTATAAATATATATATAATTTTTTTCTTTCTTTCCAGTTTTAGTTTTAATACTTTTAGATCTTAAACATATTTATTTCAGGTAGTTCACAAGGCAACATTTCTCATTTTAGCTATTTTAGGTTTAGATTTTTCATCCAATATTTATAGTTTATTTGATTTCAGCTTTATTTCAATTACCAAATACAGTTCATAATATAGTGTTGATTTTAGTGAACAATAACAACACTGTACCACAAGTACTGTAAGCTTTTCGGGTCATGTGTGCAGAACCAGCTTGTGTCTTTAATACTCACAGATGCACATTCACACTTACTGCATGGTCTCTTACACCTCAAAGGAAGTGTGAACCATCCCCACACTTACCAAACACCACTGACACAGCGTGTGGACAGGGCCCGGGGCATGATCTCTGAGCCCTGCTGCATGAAACCACCGATCGGAAACCACAGGCTGTTCCCTAGCGTGTACTGATTCTCCAGGAGGTCCTTGCGGTCCCGCCAACACGGGAAGGGGTTGTACCACTCATATGGACTCAGCCTGATGGAGGGAGAGAAACAAACAAACAATGAAACCGGGAAAGACTACTGTTACCTCAAGAAGAATGCTGGACTGTGAATATAATGATATTCAAAATAGATCTGTGTGTATTGAGTGGCAGTGTGGCACCTGGCAGCCAGGAAGAGTACACAGCTAACGGCCAGATAGGCTAAAAGCATAAAGAGCCAGACAGCTGGCGAAAACGGATCCAAGAAGGAGAAATAACCTGGCTTCCTGCCCTGTAGAAAGCACATAAACAATACAAACAATGCTTTCACCACTCCTACAGAATCTCAAAACAGCTGAAAGCTTTTCCTGATACAATTGCTGTTTGTTATTGTTTGGTATAGTTCACCTTTTCATATGCAGAGATTTGCTAAAAGTTTGTTATTGATACGGACAAAACATTATACACAATTTTTCATTTATGCATTATGCATCAGGCAGGTGCTTTCATCCGAAGCAACGTACAATGCATTAAAGATATGTATTTGATCAATTCATGTCTTCGAAGGCAACCGACCGCCTTACACTTTTGGACCATGCTTTGATGTTTTAGCTACAAGAATGCAAGATTGTTAAAGGGGTCATATAATGCCATTTTTGTACAAGCTAATATGATTCTTTAGGGTCTAAATTAAAAGTTTGTAATATACTTTAATTAAAAATTCTCATTAGTATTGTAAGAAAACACTTATTTTACCTGGTCAAAAACAGCTCTGTTTTCAGCACGCCGTTTCAGTGCATATGACTTTAAATGATAATGAGCTCTGCTCACCCCGCCCCTCTGTTCTGTGCGTACACCGTTTGTAACACAATAACACAATAACCATAACGCGTTGTTCATTATAAACGTGGGATTATGAATTATATTGAGAACGTCGTACATAGAAAACATGCCGTAATGTACCCTGAGTGTAAACCTTAGACGCATTCATCATGAAGCGTGCAAGCGATTTGCAAATTTTTTAAAGATTAATAAAACGTTACACTCACTTCAGTTCTTCTAGAGGTTCAGCAGGAACACGAATAGTTGGTACCGATCCTTTATTCAGGTGCAGCTTCTTAGCAAAACCAGCTTTATACTGACCCTCCTTTATAAAGCAGTCTGCTGAGAAATGATTCGCGCAAACATGAAAGCATTGACGTTGCTCGTGGGGAATATTCCCTTCGAAAACAAACTCAGCCACTGCGTCTTCAGCGGTTCGGATTTAGGAACATTAAATTGACTGCTGTGTTCCTTATTGCACCCAAGAACAGAACACCACAATCGCTTAGACGCCATTCTGCTCATAGACAGTGCTCCAGCATATCAACAATGAATGACCACGCCGGTCCGCGCAGACTATGATTGACAGCTCGCTCACGAACGAGAGAGGGTCTGTGTTGAAACGTTGCTGTCAATCAACAATCGTGGGAGGGGCGTCCGAGTGTGTGACGTCACACGGTCGAACGGCTTGATTTGAGGCAGGGGAAAACATATAAGGAGATTAAAACAAAAACACTGAATGGATTTTTATCATTATATGATGGTTGTGTACAGGCACTGCCAACACACATTTCAGTACAATCAACTTGTAAAAGTGCATGTACCATTATATGACCCCTTTAAATGTGACATAATCCACCTAAACAAAATCTTATGAAAATTCTTTACTAAGTGCTGCCTGAATAATATAACAACAAAAATTAATTATTATCATTATACATTTTTTGAAAGGTTTTGTGAGATTCACGCAAGAATATTACAGTCAATGATAGTAACAAAATAATTTCTGATATAAAAATACCAATGTAGTATACAATCTCAATTCAGTGTCTTACTATGTGGACGCGGTACAGGATACTGATTCCAAGGTTCATGAAAGGTTTGGAGAAATCTATGACCTTTTCCCTCTCTGATGTGATTGTAAATCCAGCCACTGCCAGATCTGCTTTCTGCAACAAACAGAGAGAAAGAGAAAGAATTAGCAATGCTAGTTTGATATTGTACTGTCTGACTGATGCAACAAAATTACATTCAAGAGGTATTCGTCACCCATGATTTCCAATAACAGGGAGTTTATTGAGATAATGTACAACACCAAATACAGTGTAGATGATCTCAAACAGACATGAAATACAGTAAAAGCCGCAAAACTCTATTCTGATTTTGATTTATTTAACACAAAGATAAGTTTGCAGTGCCTTACTCATGGATTAGCTTATAGAAAAAACCTTTAAAAGAAATGGCTGTCATCTTACCAAGTAAAATCAGGCATACATGTACTTCCTCTATAATTTGAACCAAGTTCAGTCACTGCTGACATTTTTGAAGACCTAATGTACAATAAAAAGCAAGAAAAAAAGAAAACAAAAAAGACCTATAATCGTCTTGATTGGCTTCTGGTATAGCTTCAGGGTTTCTATAACATACTGTAACTTGGAGGAGTTTTACAGACAGATACTAACTACCAACCCCCTCGGTTGTGGTGATAATTCAGTGATGTTTCTAAGTGCTCATTAGCATACCGCTGTGTCAGTTGTACAGTGTTTGACTCGCACCAGGCATGCCATTTCGTTGCATGTTGTTTGTGCTCCACGCGTGGTACCCTGCTAAACATTGACCTTGGTTTCAAGAAACACTCGAGAAGAAAAGCGTTTGACATTATCTGAGGTTCACTGATAAAGACAAGGAGTGGCAGAGGAAAGAAAAGGATATTTAGCACAAGGAGAATCAGCAAAGAATTGAAAAAGGGAAAGTCAAGGCTGGACAGCTGGATGGATGAATGGACAGATAATAAAAGGATGTAAGTGCACTGGGTTGATGGAAGAATTTGATATGAGAGTCCTTGGGTAAAAGGAAAGAGATTTATTTATTACGGGGATGGAGAGAGATAGAAAAACAGGGATAAAGGGTGGAAAACAGAAAGAGAGAGGGGGAGAAATAGAGTGACGGTCCTTGAGAGAAAAAACAGATACTTGTAGGGGAAGGGGTGATGAGGAATGGTTAAGAACAGAGAGTTGGTAAAGAGAAGGCTTCCAGCGAGGACACAGGGAATATTGTGCCCTTGTGAGATGAAGGGAACGAGGGATACGGAATGAAAAATGAGAAAGAGAATATAAAAGTACAAGAGTGAAAGTTCCTGAGGAAGGAAATGAGCGATAATGAATTAAAAACCTTGGTGTGGCTGTGGCATTATTTTGGCCTTTCTATTTTCCTTCCTCCTCGAGGGAGGAGGGGGTGACAGTGCTAGGGAGTAACTATTGTAACAGTAGTGACTACTAAACTTAACTACATTTTTCAGTAGTGCGACAGCTCAGTATATTATATACGTATATACACTCACCTAAAGGATTATTAGGAACACCATACTAATACTGTGTTTGACCCCCTTTCGCCTTCAGAACTGCCTTAATTCTACATGGCATTGATTCAACAAGGTGCTGAAAGCATTCTTTAGAAATGTTGGCCCATATTGATAGGATAGCATCTTGCAGTTGATGGAGATTTGTGGGATGCACATCCAGGGCACGAAGCTCCCGTTCCACCACATCCCAAAGATGCTCTATTGGGTTGAGATCTGGTGACTGTGGGGGCCATTTTAGTACAGTGAACTCATTGTCATGTTCAAGAAACCAATGTGAAATGATTCGAGCTTTGTGACATGGTGCATTATCCTGCTGGAAGTAGCCATCAGAGGATGGGTACATGGTGGCCATAAAGGGATGGACATGGTCAGAAACAATGCTCAGGTAGGCCGTGGCATTTAAACGATGCCCAATTGGCACTAAGGGGCCTAAAGTGTGCCAAGAAAACATCCCCCACACCATTACACCACCACCACCAGCCTGCACAGTGGTAACAAGGCATGATGGATCCATGTTCTCATTCTGTTTACGCCAAATTCTGACTCTAACATCTGAATGTCTTAACAGAAATCGAGACTCATCAGACCAGGCAAAATTTTTCCAGTCTTCAACTGTCCAATTTTGGTGAGCTCTTGCAAATTGTAGCCTCTTTTTCCTATTTGTACTGGAGATGAGTGGTACCCGGTGGGGTCTTCTGCTGTTGTAGCCCATCCGCCTCAAGGTTGTGCGTGTTGTGGCTTCACAAATGCTTTGCTGCATACCTCGGTTGTAACGAGTGGTTATTTCAGTCAAAGTTGCTCTTCTATCTGCTTGAATCAGTCGGCCCATTCTCCTCTGACCTCTTGCATCAACAAGGCATTTTCACCCACAGGACTGCCGCATACTGGATGTTTTTCCCTTTTCACACCATTCTTTGTAAACCCTAGAAATGGTTGTGCGCGGAAATCCCAGTAACTGAGCAGATTGTGAAATACTCAGACCGGCCCGTCTGGCACCAACAACCATGCCACGCTCAAAATTGCTTAAATCACCTTTCTTTCCCATTCTGACATTCAGTTTGGAGTTCAGGAGATTGTCTTGACCAGGACCACACCCCTAAATGCATTGAAGCAACTGCCATGTGATTGGTTGATTAGATAATTGCATTAATGAGAAATTGAACAGGTGTTCCTAATAAGGCCAACATTTCTAAAGAATGCTTTCAGCACCTTGTTGAATCAATGCCACGTAGAATTAAGGCAGTTCTGAAGGCGAAAGGGGGTCGAACACAGTATTAGTATGGTGTTCCTAATAATCCTTTAGGTGAGTGTATATGGAACTCTTTTTTTTTTCAACCTTCATATATATATATATATATATATATATATATATATATATATATATATATATATATATATGTGTGTGTGTGTGTGTGTGTGTGTGTGTTTGCAAAAAAAACCTTTATAAGTGAACTTCAAGGAACATATCAAATATATATATATTTTTTAATCCATGTAATGCCCCCATAAAATAAAAAACATTGATATTGACCAAAAAAGCTTTAATGTAATTAGCTACATTGTATTAAAAGATAATAGTCAACCTTTGTCAACCTGAACGATTTAAAATCACGAGTAGCTTGTCAAGCAAAGTAATTTCCCTAACACTAGGGGTGATCAATAGCAGTTCTTTCTTCTTAAAAAACCCCAAGTGTACCCCAGATATCTCTCAATCTGCTTAATTACTCCCTAATTGATTACTGAGAGATAGCTTTCTAAACCACATTCAAAGGGTGTCATCAAACGCTGGTGTCAAGGAAGAGCTGAATTGTGGGTCCATGGAGAGAAAGATGTGTGTGCATACACAGTTTACATACACAATACGCCAACATGTGACTGGCTTCGGCAGCTGTAATGGTATAGTGTCACGGAATAATTACACAGAAAGAACTGATTAGTATGTGTGTGTGTGTTCAAAAGGACTTTGCCGAGACCTGCCCACACTGGGGTTAATAGAAAGACATTACCGTTCTTATTACTGCTGCCATTATTTTTAGCATTAGTGTGAATAGCGCTAATATCTGTAATCGTTACTCTAATGGAAACATCAGCTGGCAACGGTCCAGTGTTGAAATCCTGCTAGCTCCACACAAACATATAAAAGGCTCTTACAAATTTTAATAAAAAGCTCATTTTCAAAGACAATGCTTTAGAAGATTTAAAATCAATTATCAGGTGTACAAAATTATTAAACATGATTAAATGTTATATTGAACATGATGTTTTAATAATGTTTGGAGGTTATTTCAAATGTTTTGATGAATAAACATACAATTACACTACTGTAAAAGCCCAATTGTTTCATTGAGGTTCAGTGAGACTAGAAAGCGTCTCTGAATTTACACAACGTATTCACAGAGCTTAATTATGGACGTGTGTGCAGGCATGCATACCCTGTTGATTAATTCCCCCACCATGCCAGTCCATGACCCATTAGGTTCTGGAGCTCCATACAGGCCGTCATCCACCAGCTTGATCCGGAACGAAAACTTCAGTATGTCTGCCAGCTCTCGTAGCATATCCACACAGAATCCCTCATACTGATCGTTACCATGAAAGTTCTGGTAGTTTGCCTTGCGCATCACGTATGGATTCTCCTATAAAACAGGATGAAGGTAACATTTAACGCTGTAATATTCCACTCTAAATTTCCATGAAAGTCAATAGCCTTACAGTGGAAGTGGCATTTTGATTGGTGCTAAGCCATGAAATGGCAGTAAAATCCAGTGAAACGGTGATTCCTTGGCCTTGACATGTGAAAGTAATTTTTGGCTGCAGCTTCTTGGTTTGAATGTATCATATATTTTGAATGTATTATATCAGTAAAATGTGGCCTGTGGATAGCAAACCTATTTTCTTCTTTTTGCAAGCACACATGATGCAAATAAGATGGTTAATAATGAAGGGATGACTTGTGGTTGTTTTGATTTTTTTTTTTTTTTACAGAACAAATACTAGCAGTAAGCTATTTTAAAACAATCAGAGTCAGATACATTTTTATGTTATAAGAAATTGCTTAAACGTGTTTGTTGCCTGGAAGCAACATTGTATGAAATTGGAATGAATAATGATGCAGTGAATATGGATGCAAACAATGAAGATGCTCTCTAAAATATTGCAATTAGTATATATTTTCTATACACTATACTTTCATAATGGGACAGTGTAAAACAGGACATTCAAGCACTGTAGCACTGTTCTTTATGTTATCCATCTAAAATTGACTGAATAGTGAGAAATAGGCATTCTATACCAGAATGGAAACAGACCGAAAGCTGGTGTAGAAATTGTTGCTAAAAACAATGCTTTTTAACATCATCTTGGGTGAAATCATCCTATAGTGTGAGCTAGAACAATGTGCACTGATGATTTTTCCACAGTAAGAGCGTGAAAGTGCGTTAAAAAAATAAAATCAATTTTGATTTGATGTTGACTTTAAAATGACATTCATAATTGCATTCAACAGAGAAATGTAGGTTTGCTTAAACTGTTAGGCCAATTTCTGATGGCAAAAATGAGTCGAGTCTGAATCAATTTACGTTTTGTGATTGTCAAATTGGAATCTACAAAGCTCTTCTTACAATTACAAACTCAATAAAACAACATTATTATACTGTATAAGCTCTGTGTAAGCAAGCAAGGCTTCGGAATTCCCTCATATTTTCTCTACTTTAAATCTTACAAATATTTGTAGCGTCCATAATAATATTTAAGACACATTGGGTTTGAAGAAGTGCTGTTTGAACAGACTTGTGCAACCTTTGAATCTGCAATGCTTGTAACAGTGAGAGCCAAATCTGTAAAAGCCCTGTAATTCACATCATCTCTTACATACTGGTCTGAAATGCTCAAAAGTTCTTTATTCACGTGCTGCCAAAGCCCCAAAGCCCTAAGCATCATGGAGTCATAACTGGAGAAGTTCTTACCAGTATTGTGGTGACTGTGAGTGTCTTATTGGCTAACGTCTCAGATGCGTTGATGTCTAAAGATGTGGAGTTCATAGCCAACGTGTTATTGGAGTACCAGACACCAATCTGCATATGTAAAGTAAAAAAGTTTGTAGAAGATGCTTTACTACAAATATTATGCACAGTTAGAACTACTTGCATGAACAAATCTGTGTTAAATGAACTAAATAATATAAAATCATTTGAAAACATGTTTGATCTCGCAAGGGGGAAACAGGCAGGAATAAACAAGTTCAGTGAATAAGACGAGGGGATGAAGGAGAGATAAAAGAGCATGAAGCGAGGGATCAATACTATGATCAATAAGAGAGGAGTGAAGTGGTGATTACTCCAGCTACCACCCATTCATTAGACCTCACAACCTCTCTCGTGATTCCGGATAAAATCCAGAGTTAGTGTTCATGAGAGTGTGTTTGTGTGGGTGTGCATTACCTCTTTGTGACCCCCCTTGAATTTCTCAAGAATACGCAGCGTGTAATTGGTCCTCTGGCCTTTGCTGTTAAACTCCACGCGGCCTGTTAGGCCATCATACTCTACCTAAAATGAAAAAGAGAGAGGGAAAATTTAAACCAAGGGTAACAAACAAAAATGACGAATAGCATTAATTTTGACCTACAATATTAAGGTAGAAATTATAGCACAGGCGGAGAAAAACAGAGACAGCCAGAGGACAAGTGAGAGGAAAACTTTGAGATGATTAAGAAAGTTAAGGTGAAGTGTCATTTCTGCTCCACCGGCATCACCAATTGCAATTGCAAAAAGGAAGTGGAAGGATATGGAAGGATACAATGAATGAAAGACCGCACTTGTGCCTAGACAACACAAATATAGTCTAGGATCTCACAGTTTCTAATAGCTGTATTAAAATGATAAAATACAAACAGGCCTTCAGACAGGTTGTAATAAACAATGGACATCTGGTGTTAAGGACACAGTTATAATTGCTCTGAAACTAATGGCAGTTGTAAAATTACTATGGCTGAGTATAATCATAACAGAGGACGTAAAAGTCATACTGCATTGGTCACCTGATGGCCGCCGATGGAGGGGACAACCAGGAATATTGTCCCGGTCACTGTGACAAGGGCGGCACATTACTCAAGTTAATACTCAAGCTACTTGTGGAAAAAAAGACATTTATTTGAAAATTGACATTTATTTGTGGTATAAATTAAATGATGTTTTGGAGTTTCCTATAAAAAAAGTCCAGGGGCCTGTGAATTGAGTCAAATAATACCATATTTATTTAAAAAGATTTATTATAATAATTTTATTAGCATTTTGTATTTTTTTTTATTTCCTTAATTTATTTATTACTATTTTATTTATTTATTTATTGTATATTATTATATCTAAATTTAGATTTTTACATTTAATTTGGTTCATTTACTGTTCTTGCTGTTTTCTGCATAGTTTCACAGTGCTAAAACAGTGGTGAATGTTTCTTGATGGTGTTAAATGATGCACAACGATACTCAATGCACAATAATGCATTAGTCAAGGTTTAAATTTATCGCGGAGTAAATTGAAAAGCATCCATCATAAACTGTCTGTGTCTTGTATGTCGACGCCAAGGGGAAATATTACAAAGACGTTTTTCCTTGGAATAACATGCACTGATGAATTGTGCGCAACGAGACCAGAACGTATGTTGAGAAAGTAGACATGCTCAATTTAAATTCATGTTGACTTTAACAGAGCCAATAAAAGCCAATAAGCAGTTGCATGCAGAATCCCATCAACATCAACCAGATTAAAACGGGCTTCCACAGCTCATCAGAGAAGACAGTAGCAACAGCCGTAAAGACTGATCACTAAAGTCATCAAATGCATCAGAAAATGGCTGCCAATGGGGTGACAAGTACCATGCGCAGGTAGTTCATGAGACTGGTGCCGTGCTGCCAGATAAGTGAGGAAGTGCAGCTCAGAGGCTTCACTCCGATCTCCTGACTGCGGTTCAGCTCTCGCACTGCTCCGACCACCACATGAACTGCATCGAACATCAGCGCAGATGACAACTGTAGGTGGAGAGAGAACATGAATGAAACGAGACGAGAGATATGCCGAAGCCAAGACAGAAAGATAGTGGAAAAAGAAGAAAAAGAGAAAAAAGGAATGTAGAATTGAGAAAGACAGCAAATGAGGTCATTAGGGGGACAAGGAGACTTCACGTCTGTTAGGGGCCCTACAGCAACTGTCTTCCTCCTAAATTATGTTGTGTGGCGCACATCCTATTTGGACACATTTGAAAAAACCTTCTGGCAGAAATAACATCTCATTATTCCACTGAGTTAGTATTACTACGGTTTACGTTTTTTTTTTTTTTTTTTTTTTTTTTTTTTACTTAAGCAAATCTCAGCAAAATCTGGTTTAAATAATGCAGTGAAATGTCAATCAAATTATTGAAATAGGCTCTTGGAATCTAAAAAGCATTTTTAGATGCTAACAGAACCAAATAGATCACTGTTACTGATATCTCCTGACAGATGTGGTTTTAATTGTTTGATTTAAAATATGTTAACGAAATAATAACCTCTCACACTTAAAGTAACGTTAACACAACAAGTAAGTCTGCACCCTTTACCCGGAAAGGTTGAATTGCCCCTGAGTCGCTGACCCTGAGTAATTTGTGAGTTGTAATGTTTCTCATGTATTGGCACTGGCAAGAAAGTATTGTAAGCTCACCGCTGGACCAGGGTAGGGACTGAGGTCACAACCTTCCCTCCATGACAGGTTTAGACTTCTAATGAACTCCAGGTAAAAAGGATGACTGCTGTTCAACATGGAGAAGCCAACGATATTTGATTGATCATCTACCACGTCATCCAACCTCAACAGAGGGAAATCCTGAAAGAGAGAGATGATAGAGAGCTATTTACTTAAAAAGTACCGTGGACATATACATTATTGTGATTTTGGCGCTAAGAAACACTTTAAATACTTTAAAAAATCTAGGAATGAATGAACACCGCTGCCGCTGCACTGAGAGTAGTAGAGTACACGTGACGCGAAGGCCTTTGATGCGCATGCGCGTATTCTTTTCCTCATTATTGAAAACAGGCGCGATGTACAACGGTCCCGCGAAAGTGAGTGTTTAACAGTTAAACATGCAAAATACTCCGTTTTTTTTTCACACAGTATTTAGTATAAACTGTCTTTTCTGTCTAACAGTTAAAAAGTACTGCAAGGCAGCCCAGTTTGGCCGCTGTACCGTGAGCCAAGGTGAGTTTGATAGAATTCACTAGCACCTTGTTGTCAGCACTGCTTTAACGGTATAAATATTTTAAGGACAATTTTACAACAACAAAAAACGGGGTGTGTATATTATTTAAAAGTATTATTAATATAGTTAAGGTGCTGTAAAGTCATATTCAGTAGGCTACTGGTGAAAATATAAGAACGAAATCATTGAATATTAACCATTTATGGATTCAGAATATTAAAACTACAGCACATTAAATCTGGGTAAGTAGTTAGAGGTCATAAAAGTAAAATGTAAATGGATGTTTGATTTATTTATAATGCCATCATTCACTGCATTTTCCCGGAGGGTTTTGTTTTGATCTTGGCTTATAATGATGTAGTAGTGAGACCTCTACTATATAGTGGCCTATTATACAGTATTTCAATCCTATGAGATTGCAAACTTAAAGATAGGTTTAATACATTTTAAGTAAAATCAAACCACTATTTAACAGCAGTAATTTAATTACTGATGAACTCATTTGAAAGTTTTGAAAATCTTATAGAAAGGACAAAAAGGACCATGAATGAAATCATTTGTACAGTATAAAACTATATTACAATGGAGGCACCATACACAACATCACACGTTTATCGTGATTTGGTAAATTTGTGCTTAACTCAAATGCAATATTTACATATTATTCAGAAAAGGTCTACATTTTTTGTAATAGCTACATTTTCTTGGCCAGTTTTTTGCAAATAAATGCTGCTCTCTACGGGTTTGGTAAAACCCTCATCCATAAATAAATAGTAATTTACTGAAGGCAATATTCAACCCAGCTAGAATTCCACTCGACATAAGTGGTGCCCATTGGGAACGTTCAAGGAAAACATTAAAAATTGGCTCAAATATCATGGCTTTCACCTTGTCTGCTAAATCAGTCAGCCCTTGTGCTTTCTCACCTACGGGCAAGTGGATAATCCCAAGAGGTACAGTATGTTTGTCAATGGTACAGTCAACAAATACTTTTTCTATAGCTGTGTAGAAGCAGTGGGAAAGCTCTTGGTGGATCCATCAATTGGTATTAGATTATTTATCACAAAATATTTGCTTTCTATATGGCAGCTGAAGGAGGATCTAACTCCGCCTATGAAGACAGAAGACACCCATTGAGTTTTTCATAAAAAGCTTCCCATATCTCTGCATATATTGATTCCCAAGACTCTAAAACCTTCTGAAGTCAGGTGCATTTCAAGTGAAGCCGTAGAATGTTCTTCTGTCATTGACTCCTTCAGCAGCATTAAATCCTTTTGATTCCTCTTGAGGATGCTCCTCGTACAGTTTATAAATGGAGGTATGACAGATACCGTGACTGTTTTTGAAGGGCTTGATAATGGCAAGTGTCTTTCATCTTTAGTTTGCTCTCAATTAGATTGCCGACAATGTGAATCTGACAAGATGATGACCTTATTCAAGACGCAGACTTAATTTTTGAGACTGCTACTGAAAGCCATCACTCAACAGCCACCAATGAATCTAGCATACAACTGCAATATTGCCTTGTGGTTGTCTGCATTTGTCCCTGATCTTGGGGAAAAGCTTGCCAAAGTCAGATTAATAAAAGGCTAAGCTTAAACTTGAATGTTCAAATGAGCTGTTTTATAAGGAGAAGAAAAAAAAGACTGAATTTAATTTAATTACACTTTATAAAATATGTACATCAAAAATTATTTATGATGCCATGACAACACTAAAAATGGTGCATTACTAAATTAAAAAAATCACACTAAAATATCATTCAACTCATCTTCTTTCACACTCCTATTCATGTATCTTTAGTTCTTTTTTTAGTTGGCATGCTCTTAGCAAAATTGCCCTACTGCAGAGTAAGCTCTGGCTTCCTCCCAAATACAAAATAAATAAAAATTCCATAAAAAATGCATGTTAAGAAATGTAATCTCTAAACGTTTTACATATTAAATATTTGCCATTTACTGAGGCCATGTTTGGACAGTCTCAAATTTCATCTCCCACGATTCAATTTGCCTCTCAAGGTCAAAAGATTTAGCCGTCCTCACTTTCCCCTGGTTTCACAGACAAGGCTTAGGCCTAGTCCCAGACTAAAATGCATGTTTGAGCTGTCTTTAACTGAAAGCAACTTGGACTGACATATCTTAACATATGTCAGTGCCATTGTTTGGTCTCAAGATGCAAATGAGTGTGTTTTTTTTCTAAGGCACGTTTATAAAAGCTACTCAAATGCCCTAATTAAACTATTTAATTAAACTAAGGCCTGTCTGTGAAACCAGGCGTTTAACAGTGGTATTAAAATCCTAAACTCACAACAGAAGCATATGCGACCTCAAAACAAGGACATAATCCACCTCATCCTCGATGATAATGATAAACGGCATTGATGCGCTGTGAATCTGTGATGAGCTGGTCAATGGCCAGGCCTGCCATCGCTGTTAGTGGATGAAAGTGGGTTAAGGGGAGAAAGGGTAGTGTGTCATTGTTCAAAGTGAAAAAAGGGGGTTGTTTACCATTGTGGTGAGAATATACTTGTAGAAGGCTGATGTCATGCCTAATTCTGAGGCCTAGAGAAAGGGAGAAAGAGCAAGAGATATGTTGTATCTCAGAAATCTAATTATAATCATAATTCATTCTACATTTGCACAGTTGAGTCATGTCAGGTTTTTATCTCCGTCTGTCTGACTGTTTCAGTTGTGTTGAACACAATAGTCTGAAAATGTGAATTAAAATCCCATTTAAACCTAGCAATAAAGTAAGCATAAGTATTTCAAAAAATGTAAAAACAAAGATAAAAATGATGACATAAGATTGTAAATAAATATATATATACTGTATATTATACTGTAAATATGAAATTAAATTGTTCAATGCAACTCATCAAATTGTTTTTAAAAAAAGCACCGGAAAAAATTAAATATTCTTAAATCAGGAAAAAGTAAAATGCAGTCATTTGCATTAGTGGCCTCTGATTTATGGACCCCTAAATAAGCACACATACCTTTTTTAATATTAGTATAGACACTGATGCATTAGCATCAATGATAATTGTCGCAACTTTGTCATCACGGATTTCCTTTAGCAGGGGGGTGGGGTCCAAGTTTTCATCGAGCATTCTGACTGAGAGTGTTTCCCGGGATATGAGGAAGTGACGCACAAGCTCCTCCAATCGCAGCAGGCCTGAGGGTATAGCATAAAACCCCAAAAATACTTTATACTACTCCTTAATATAAGCATTTCATGAAAACATTCTCAATATATATTCACAATATATAACAATACATATATTTGTGAAAAATTAGTAAAGCTCTCACAAATTTTATAATTCTTAGTATATCAGAATGGCCGTTCAGCATAAATGTTACGTCGACACATTAAAATAAATGTCATGTAACCATCTAAAACCTTTTAACAACTTTCATAAACTGTCAGTTGCAGTAAACCTTACCTTACTTTCCACCCTGCTCCTCCATATTAAAGTCAGTGACTATCGAATTAAGTGACTTTGAGAGCCAATAAAGTTAATTCTGTATGTACATAAATTTGTGCTCTAAGCCACCACAAAATCTATATGGTGAATTCATTGATTTTGGACTGCAGTCAACAAGATGCACAGCTAACGATAACAGCAGGATGAAGTGATGAAAGAGTGCGTTCTCACAAAAACAAACAAAAACTACCACACCACTGTGTGGTGGTATCCATGCTCTCTCAAACATCCACATTAGTAAGAAACCAACGTGTAGATGAGCACGTCCATGCATGCTAATGTGCACAGAGAACACAAACATGCCTGCACAAACACAACTGCCTGCATCTTAAACAGACAAACACAGTTACACTTGAACATGAGCACAGGCTGGAGTAATTATATGGATAAGTGCAGATATGCAAACAGCAGTAAACAGTGGTGCATAAAACTGTAGCACCATTACCCAGACCATACCAATCAAGTGAGAGCTGCTCACATCAGCAAGTTACAAGAGATCAACTTGCAGTCAGCATCGTAACAGCTCACATGCGTTTCACTCTAGTGCACCAACTACTACTCATTAAGCTTAGTCAACAAAGTAACAAATACAATTAAGATTGCTTCTTGTTTGTCTGCATGATTACACAATCCTCAATGCGAAATCCTTCAAATCAGAGTGAATGTGGACAGCACTACTCATGCGAAAAACATTGGTGCAGTATTTTTTATATATCAGTGATAATCATCTTACATCACCTGAAAGGCAGGTGTGCTTTTTTAATTGAGAAAAAAGTGAAGTGCCTCCAATTGTGCCTATATTAACAGTTAAATGTATTAAATAAGGTAAAATCGGGCACAATGGGGCTGAAGGCACACCCTAAGACAAATTTGCTTTTCACTACTCCCATAGTGTATGATTGCAGAAAAAAAGTTTTTATTGAACATTAATTCAAGTTTGTTTAAAGTCCCACTGTAGTCAATAACTTTATCCCTTAAAACTCTTCTTTGATAAACAATGAGTGACGTACACGCGCGAGAGATCACTTCCGGCGCTTTCCGGCGCTTGCGCAGACCGAAGCGCCCGCGCCCTCAGATCACTTGAACGTGGCTGTGGTTACAAGAGGTAAAACCGATATAAATACTGTTCGTTTTCTCACACAAACCGCTCGTTTCGTGTCTTAGGCCATCAATGTGTACTTACATTTACGAGTCATTAAATCATGTTTAATTTGGACTTCTCTGTGCATGCTCTTTGAGGAAGTTACCATAGACCTGCATTATATGACTGACAGACAAGAACGGTTTGACCTAAAAATATCAAAATTGAAACTACTGTGGAAACAAAGACACCTACATCTTGGATGCTCTTGAGGTAAGCTAAAACATACCAAAAATTAATTTCAAAGTGAACTATCCCTTTAAGACCGAATGCATGGATCTAATATAATGGCACGCAATCCGATTTCTTTCACAACTGTTTATTCACTGAAGACATAACTGACTGTAAATACTCACCAAGATGGACATTTTGACCAATTTTTATGTATGTTTCACTGATTAGGCAATAGGCATGCATGCATCTGAAACCCCAAGTATTCTTTGCTCGTCAGTGTTCCTTTCCATCTCGCAGCTCACACAGAAAGAGTGTGGGGGGATCAGTCTCTTTCGCAGTTTAATGCGCTTTAATAACTCTTTTTAATATAAAGCCTGTCCCGCAGTAGACTGCATTTTACGACATTCACATTGACTGATTTGGACGTTAAGTTTAGGCTATTAAGGAGGGGCGAAAGCACACCCCTTTAAAGGAAAGGAATGGCATGCGCCACAATGATCATTTTATCTTGATTATCATGTTTTCATAATCGTTGGATGCCAAATTGAAAGTGAAACTAAAATTTGATTCATCATCGCACAGCCCTACTGCTGTTGAATTGTTTTTTCAAATGTTCACACAATTCATTTAACAAATCAAATGTGTCACCACGCATGAAAGACACATGATAGTGACACATGATATAATTTGGCCAGTCAGCACAGGCATCTAGTAGGCAGTCATTGCTGTATTTTAACATTATTACGAGGACATAAAAGATCACGATCTCTACGATTCACTTTAAAAGTTGGACGTGGATGAAAATCGTCAGATCGCCCACCCCTACTTTAGCCCCAACAGCAGGTACGCCTTTTACCCCACATACCCTACTTTCACATGTTCTACCGTTTTTGAAAAACTGTTGCTTTAATTACTTTGAACAAAACTGAAAATCAATAAGTCTTTTGTCTCAAAATATAGACATTCATTTTTATCAATTCTCATTTGCTACGTAAATCTACAACATTTTAAGAAAACATTAAATGTTAGATCAAATTAGCACAGAATCAGCTTTGGGATCAGCCAAATTTCCACGTGCATCATCAAAAATGCGGTTGTTTAGAAAAGTGCTGAGGTGAATTTCTTTGCCATCTGGTTTAAAAGAGAATTAAGTAAAATGCTCCGTTTACCCCCGTGCGCCTTTAGCCGCATTGTACCGTACAGTTTTATAATGTTACTTTGGCCTTAATGCTACTTTTTAGGGAAAGTGGGATATAGAACGAGATAGGTGATCAGGAAATATAAATTGTTAATGTTAAAATGTTAAATCCAGATTTGAACTTGCACTACTGTATGAACAAATGCATGTGTGCTAACTGCTAGGCCACAGCGACCAACATTTTTACTGAATATAATGTCATTATCATCGCCATGCAGAAAAATTTAATCCATAAGAATAAAGCTAATAAAAGGTGTAATCTTATAAAAATATGTAATTTGCTGAAGCAGTGGCATCGTCGTTAATAACATAATATAATAGGCACCAAGCCTAAGGATAATGCACTTATGTTAAAAATTTAAATGAATTGCAATGTGAATCGGCTACTGTGAAATGAATTGGAAAAGGTCCTGTGAACAATGAACAATTCAGCTTGATCTACACAGTATAACAGCTGAATGAAAGAATGGGCAGTTCAAAGTTGATGGTGCCAACACTTTCCCTGCAGACTTACACTCTGCTTTGGCACAGATCAGGCTGGCCGTCGGGTAACTGAAAGAGTGCAGAATGGCACCGATCGCCAAGCTTAAGTCCTCGTTGCTAGGATACAGCGTCACTGAGGCAAAGCGCAGATATGGCAAGCGTGGAGTCTCCTCTGGACCGATCTTGATGTGAGGGATCTGGGAGGAACAGACAAAAATAAAGAGGGCAATTTAGAAGAATAGATTGTGTGATTGACCCACACGGGTTTTTCATTGGCTGATGCCAATATCTAAAGCAGCGGTTTTCAATCTTGCTCCTGGGTACCCACAGCACTGCACATTTTTTATGTCTCCCTTATTTATGGCACCTGATTCAAATCATTAGCTCGTTAGAAAGGAGCTCCATGAGGTAAAGGTGTATTCATGCCTTGTTGTTGGAATTACCGTAATTATTCCCACTTGTAAAAAAGTGTTCACGTCCTCGTAGAACTTATAATTACAACTTTTCTGAGCGCTCCGACTAGTATCATGTGACCGTTGTACCACCTGAGCGCTGCAGATTTATTCTGCTGTTGGTAGTGTTGCTATTGAAACGCATAATTCTGAGGACGAGTAGCTCCGAGTAGAAAGTCACGTCACATGTTTTTAATTACGGTAATTACGACATGCCGTGAATGCAGCATAAACTGAGCATGTCAGATGAGAGAGACATATAAAATGTGCAGAACTTTCTATTCATCAAAGAAATTAAGATTAATAATAATAACACATGAATCTTGTGCACCGAATAAGCATATTGGAACGATTTCTAAAGGTAGTAATGACTGAGTAATGGCTGCTGAAAATTCTACTTTGCATTAAATTACATTTTAAAATATAATAAAATAGAAAACGAGTTTTTTAAATGGTCATATTTTTGATCAGATTAATGCAGCTTTGTTGAGCAAGCGAGTTAAAAATTTTTTTTAAAAAAAATTACAGACCCCAAACTTTTGAACGATAATGGCGAGATGTGTATATACTGCAGTGGTGGAGGAAGTACTGAATCTCAGTACTTAAGTAAAAGTACAAATAACCAGAGACATATTTACTTTAGTAAAAGTAGAGGTAGCCTACCACAATGACAACCCTACTTAAGTAAAAAGTAAAAAGTACCTGATTTTAAATGTACTTTAAGTATTAAAAGTAAAAGTACTTGCATAACAATTTATTCTCTTAATGTGTATATTCTAATGATTAATAAAACAGTTAATTCTAACTCATTCAACCTAATACTCATATAATGATGTTCAATATGATGGAAAAGCAGTTATATTTTAAGTTTTTGTCACCATTTCTTGCAATTAGGCAATATACATCACATCAAGCTTACTATATACCCTTACTATATACGGTATATATATATATATATAAACACACATATTATGTTAAAACGCCGTATATGATGGCGTTTGGCTGTAAACGCGATTCATTTATGGCGTAATTCTGAACCTCTTGGCTTGCCATACTAATCCTAACCAAACGTATAATACACACGCACCCCACATCACTACTAAACCTACCAATGCGTTTCCTTTGCATGTAAAAACTAATTTTCGCGTATAAATTGCATGATAAACACACTGCGTGCTATAGAGACGCATTTAGTGTGACCGGGTTGATATATCTATGGCAACCAAACTTCACTGGTGAGACAGAAACGTGCGATGAACGGACGGTCAGGATGACGTTTTGACGGGAAAAACTGATCAGAAAATTTAACGAAAATGTAACAGAACGTTGTAGAAATGTAGTGGAGTAGAAAGTATAATAATTGCTGCAAAATGTAACGAATTAAAAAGTATGCACTATTGATTCTACTTAAGTTAAGTACAGATACGTGAAAAATGTACTTAAGTAAAGTAACGAAGTATTTGTACTTCGTTACATTCCACCACTGATATACTGTATATACTACCAAAGATTTACATTTTCACAATGAAATGTGTTTCTGAAAGTAATTACTTTATTATTATTTTTTTTTTTTAAAGTAAACAATTATAATGTTACAAATGATTATTTCTATGGCATTTCACTTGCAGCAATGAGAATATGGTTGTGTGCTGTTCAGAATTGAACTGAGAATGCCTTTCAGTTCCAACATTTGAATTGAGGTTGCAGACAGAATGTTGAATTGCAAAATTAACTTTATTTTTTAAACTTTCTAAAGTCTTGACAGTAGGGCTGGGCGATATGGAGCAAAAAATATATCTCGATATATTTTGCTATATCTCGATATTCGATATATATCTCGATATCTTTACAGGAAAATGGATGTGAATACAACTCAAAATATAGGCCTACAATCAATAGAAAATTAATTTTCCATAACAGAATGTAACCAAATGAGAAAAATTAAACACAGGGCCTGAATTTCGTCATCATTATTAATCACGTGATTCATATACAGAAACTGAATAAAGTAATCAAATGGAAAATAACACTGATTATTATTAATCCTGTTATTAATCCTGATTCCTTTAACTTAAAGCTATCTTTTGTTGTATTGACAACAAAATGAATGACACACATATGGCTGCCGTCACTTTAAGAGGTAGTGCACGGATCCTGTGTTCATTATACTGGCATGCGTTTTATGCTTATTAAAGACAAAACCGACTATGTTTAGAGTATACTCACGACGACCGAAATTGACAATTTAGCGTGTTAAAGCAATATAAACCGCGAAAAATAACTTTTGTTACTGGCCAGCTGTTCTTAAGGCGGATTTTCTATGAATGTGCGCATTGAAAATAATCTCTCAGAGAGCGCGCGAGCACTGATTAGTTTAAAATCGCTTGAATGTTTAAACTGGTAAGACTTAAAAACACGAGCAAATGGTAAACTTCAGTCACGATGCACTGCTGGCCCGATTGTGCGAGTGAATATCCATCATGTCCCGACTCCTAAACGCGAGTGTGTTTTATCGCCGCAGCTCTTGATGCTTGCCTTGCACAACACATTATGAGAGACGAGAAAGAAGCGGCACCGCTGAACACTCACGCTGTTTGTGAAATTGCGTCTGGCAGATAGTTGTTAAAGGAATGATTTGATTTTATAATCTGTGTGGATTACGATTGCGGGAATTTCCCGCATTATAAATGGGAGACCTGCGGGAATGATTAGAATTATGCGCAATACCCGCGCCGAAATTCGAGCCCTGCAATAGTTTAAAACAAGACGTTTGTAGTAGCCTTCTGATTACTGGAGTCCATTAATCGAACTTCCATGCCTCTTATATAGTAATTATATATTGTAGTATGTAGGCTACCAATTTACTAATGCAATTAATGCTCACACTCGGTTTCTCTCGTGCTCTGTCGCTCGCGCGCAGACACACTCGGAGTTCTGTAGCCTCCGGGCTGGTTGCGGATGAGACAATTGTTGAATGAGACAACACGCGAGGTGAGGGGGAACAAAAGCAAGGAGGCGGGGGCGAGCACAGCACAGAGAAGGCAAACAAGCAAAGTGGCGAAATCAGGATTAAATATAAACAATATATCGATATAAACGATATGTCAAAATCCATATCGTGTTTAAAAAATATCTCGATATATTTTAAATATCGAGATATCGCCCACCCCTACTTGACAGTTTCAAAAGTTTTAAAGCCTTGAAGTGTTTATTGGCCTTATAGAACGACAGATAAACTATTGGATGCTTGTCTCCCTTTTCTTTAAAGCGCTAGTATCTAAAAAGCCATCATTGTTTAATTTATTTTAATTATATTGAAAATCTGGGATTGAAAATGCAGACCACACTGTGAATAAATATAATACAATTTAATGATAGTAAATTAGGTGTACACAAAATGACTGAAATGAAAAGCACGCTCATTTTACGTAGTATAAAATTCTTAATTGGCTGAGTGGGCACCAAAACGGCCAGATATCGGCCAATTAATCATCCTGGCTGATATATCATTCTCTCTAACCGTAAGGAAGGAGGAAGAGAGAGAGAGAAAATATGGGAAATTAGGTCAGAGGGAGAGATGCTTTTCAAGCAGCAAAGCAAAGGCACACAGGAAATAATGGCCTGTGGCTGAGGAGCAGTGTAAATTTATCATCTCAGGAAATGCTCTCACAGACACATACGCAAATGCACTTCCTTTCATTCTCACCTCTTTTTCCCCACATATATGACTGACAGTGGATCCAGAAGCAGGACTAGAGGCAGGACCAATGACAGAGACCACTCCCTTTGGCAAGATCTGACACACTTGGAGGGGTAAAGATATATTATTAGAAAGAGACAGATAAATAGAGATACCATGAGAGAGCTAGAGAACAGGGTGATAGAGCAAGACAGTGACTGAATGAGAGAGGGACAGGATTGAGAGAGAGAGAGACAGACATTGCAGTGAGCAGAGAAAAAGCCAACATCTTGGATGCCGTCCAGTTCTGTGTCCTGTTCCTAGATGATATATCAAATTAGGAGTCAATGTAAAGCTCTTTTTGATTAATTACATCAATAAGCACAACACAGATTTATGCTCTGCCTACAGGAGATTGCTGCTCTAATTCTACAGAAGAATGAGGAGGAGAGAGAGAGAGAGAGCACAGGGTGTATATTTAGATGAAAAGATTTTTTTCCTTGCTTGCTTTTGAACTGTTGCATTGAAATGTTCAGGGCAATGTGCATGTGTGACAAGGGTATGTAATTCATTTTGCGACAAATGAAAATCTTTTATCCTGCTGTTATATTCACATGCGGTGAGTGTGTGTTATTAGTCCATTTCAGTCCAATGGTTAAAGTGAACCTTTTTTTTTTTTTTTCTTTCCCTTTTTATTCTTGGTCTTATTGTGCACAATTCAGCAGTGCATATTATTCTAAAGAGAGAAAAAAAATGTCTTTCATCAACTTTCTCCACTGAGAATATTGTTAACCAGCAGTCAAATGACTTACAAAAATATTAAATTGTAGACTACTTAGTTACCATAAGTTAATTAAATTTTGGTTAACAATAATGGTATAATGTAATATAATATAGCAATACATTAAAAAAAGAAATCACTTTAACTTGACCTTTAACTTTCCATTCAAAAAGCATCCTGTAAACTCCATGGAACTCTTTTTATAATCCAATACATTTCTAATGAAGATTAAAAAAAGATGAATGAAAAATAGATTACTGTTCTTGGTAATTCAGCGCCAAAGCTTGCCAATAGTTCATTTAATTCTGATAATAGAACTACACGATTAATCGTTGAAAGATCGCAATCTCTATTCAACACCCACGCAATCTTATTCCCAAATGACAAATGATTCGGCCATGTCTATTACACCTTTGACAAATACAGTCACAGCGAACATTCAAACATCTCATCGCTGACCCAGAGAGAGCAGTTGTTATGTATAGGTATGAAACAGCTTCACAAACAGTCTTTTCATCTACACAGTATCAATATTTCTGTTACAAAAGTGGGAAAAGTACATTTTGAAAAGTGGGAAAACCATGATCTCCATTTAAAATAAAAAAGTATAATTCTTAATTTATCCAGAATTGTGCAGCTCTATCTGATAATATAATATAAATGACAATACATTTGAAAGAGATATAATCTCAGGTGACCGCCCATTTTTCATAATCCAATCAAATTCTAATAAAAACATTCCCGACCCTATAATTTGTTCTTGTTGAATTTTCATTCAAAACGTTGAAGTTTTAGTCAAAATACTTCACATTACAGAAGTAAAATTGTGAATGAGGTTTCATGTGACTACCAGTGTGTGTGTGTGTGTAGTCATTTAGTTAGACTCACTTGTGTCTGTAGTCTCGTATTGAGAGTCTCTCTGCAGCTCAAAGATGTCGACCTCCACGCGGGCTCGTGACGAACCTTCCATCGCACTGTTGATGTTCTCTCGGGCCAGAGCCAATGCCAACCGCTCTCCACGTCCACATGCTGACTGATCATCTAAAATAGCAGCTGAAGAGGAACAAAAAAACCCTCTGTGTTTTGTTTTCTGCTCTGGAATTTAATTGAGTTTTTGATGTTGAGGATTGAAATTTCATTTGTTATTGCAAGAAGATGGAGTTACTCATCTAGATTGAACAGAAACAAGTTTGCAACGAATGTCGCATGTTGTGATGTTAACTGATTAGATTGTTCTATTGAGCGCATTTCATTTGGAGGCTTTCCAGAGATTAATTGATGCTTTATTGTTCGCAATAATCAAGATGAACATGCTGATGCTTGAAGCAATCAGTCACATGCTGTGAAGTAACAGCCTAGTATAAGCGACTTTGAAAAAAGCTCCTGTTTGAATCCGATAATATTGCTTTATTTCGCCTGAACTCTGCTCTACAGTCAGTGGTTTAATCTAATGGTTTAATTTTAGTTTTTATAAATCGACCAAGAAAACTAAACAAAACAGTCCCAGCATATCTGAGATTTTCGCTTCACACTCTCTCTTCTGTGTAACAGGTGTTTAGTTGAAAAGGATTATAAGCCTAGTAGGAGGTCAGTACTTCAAAAGATGTATTTAAACATTAAATCAAGAACAAGCTTTGTAGTCTCTTTAAATGTGGGCTTCACGTTGATGCTTGCTGCCTCCATTACAAGTAAAGCATTTGGGTTATCTGGAGACTGTAACAGTGCAGCCGATTTTCTCATTCCAATTAAAAAAAGTTTTATTTTTTCCACAAAGCCTCTGTAGATAAAGCTGGAAGAACTGAGGCAGAATTAGAACTCTTGATGGGTAGAAAGTGGACTAGGTTAGTAGCGTAGGCCAGCAGCACTATTACCCCTGACACTAAGTACTAACCTTTCCTCAAACTATTTGTGCTACAGACGTGGATGATACATATGTGACTTTTTGAGGAGACTTCCTCAGCGATGTAATATTTTTATTGCCTTGGTGCATGATAAAACAGGCTTGGATCTTTTGACTTGGACCATAAGCAATCACCAACACCCTATACCCGGGAGATAATGTGAAGATGCACTTTTGTGTGTCGTCTAACAGGAAGTGGTCCATGGCCTCTCACCCATCCTGACAGCTGCGAGAGCGGGCGCCTGGCTGAGAGAGGACGGGGCCATGGTCAGCAGCAGCAACAGCAGGAGGAGGAAGAGTAGGTGAATCGACAGCAGCAGCGCTGGCAGAGCCGGCATCTTCCACTGCTCCTCATGGAGAAAGGTCGTCTGGCTGCCTGCACCGCCACCTAGAGGACAGGTACAAAATTACACATAAGAACTTTGTTTTTGTAGTATGTATATACTGTGCACAATATGTCCATTTCTTTCTGTATGCGTTAAATACTGGGATCACCTATATTATCCAAAATGAGCAGTGTACATTTTTACACAAAAGTGGATTAAAAAACACAAAATAACAACCAAGATAACTAGATGCTAGAAGTTTAATTAAACATGCAACATTTTAACATTATTCAATGTAAAAATGCAACATAATGAGGTCATGTGAAAACAATGATGCAAGGTACTGTTTTTGAAAAGTTTAGCATTAAATAATGCATACTATTTTATTTTTTTTAAATTAAAAATGTATTTCGTGTACAGTATATAATGCACAATGTGCAGTAAGCAGCATGCTATTATTCTATTCCAAACATAGCCCTTGATTCAGTTTAACTTCGCTGTTGTCCACACCACTCTGTCCATGTGTTGCATCATCCACTTAAGCTATTAAAGGGTTCAGCATTGAACATTTTGGTTTGCAAGCAGCACAAACATGCCACTTTTATACATAATATGCCTGTTTTTTCCCCAATGCCTTTCACACACACACACACACACAGGCATATATTCCCATCCACACATTGAGAAAGAAGATACCCACACGCATAAGATGGCTTTTTTTGTCCCAGTGGTATAATATGAGCCATACACAAGATGCTTTGGCTATGATGTGATGTGAAAAAATATTCAGGACCATTGCAAAAGTGTATGTTGCTGTTTATCAGCACCTGAAAACATATTTGCATCAATTGCAATGACTTACTGAGGTCGTGTTGTTAACTGGCAAACGAAAACCTGGATGATTCAGAATGGTAATTTTTTTTTTGACAGATAAAATATTAAGGTATCTGATCTATTGTGTTTCTGCACTAGAAACATTGATTCACATAGTAATTCTGGGATACTATACTAAACAATAACATGAGCTTATGGGTGGTTTTCCAAAACTTTTCAGGCAAGGAGGAAAGTTTAGACTTATGCAAGCATAAAAATTACCAGACCTTTCAAATTAAATGTGCTCATGTCACTATAGGGCTGAACAGGACTGATATAAGCCTTAATTATTGCTGCTATAGCACATGAATAGCATAACGTGTGATGGGTTAATTCACATGTACAACTCGCAGATAAAGCAATCCCAGAAGAGGTGAATGTGTGGAAAAATGGGCATGTACACAAATGGAACAATAAATGAATTACCAGGGGAATCAAAAATGTACAAAAATAGACCATGAGAGAAATTTGACTACCCAGTCTGTCAAAATGACGTATAATGATTATTTGTAGCGCAACCTCTGGACGTGCCGCATGCGGCATTATAAAACAATTCACCACAAGAAAACCCACAACATAATACAGAGAAGCAGAGAGAATTGAATGCAGCCAGAAGAAACAGACTCAGAAATGGCTTTGGGAGACAAAGAAGAGAGCGAGAAAGATTGAACGCTTGACGAATGCAGCATAATAGAGCTGAAAAGACTCCGGTCTGTTGTGTGTGTGTGTGTGTGTGTGCATGGGCCGCACAAAACAGAGACACAAGTCAAGCTAAAGATCAAGAGCCTCATCCCTAAAGCCGCCGTCAATCCTGGACTGCCTGTGTTTGAGTTTGTCAACAGCTTGATTTGTATTGGCCTTCCCCAGCTCCGTGAAGTAAATGTTTATCTTTCCTGCCAATAAGGCCCTTTGAATGCATTCAAATTGAAGTCTGAATGGAACCAAAATGAAGTGAGCGAACCAAAAAGGGAGGAGAGGACAGAAGAAAGACAGCTGGGATGAGATGGCATGCGAGAGAAAGCAGAAATAGCGTGGAGAGAAAGATGAAAGTAAACCGAGAAAGATGGTGAGGGGAGAGAGTAGGAAGAAAAAGAAAGTATTAACACACACAAGTAAACACCACATAAGGTGACAGCATGCTGAATGGGCAGAAATTCAAGCTTGGCTGTTTTAGTTATTTAACTGTTAGCTTTCCTGTACGCCAGCATTGAATTTAACAGTCAATGTAACCGCCCGCAGGCTTGCTTAATCAATGGACTTCTGCTTTCTCTCTCTAATAACAATATATAATGCGTTTAACACATCCTAAGACTGATGCATGAGCATTCACAACCTGTTAACCTTTACAGGTCTCTCTCAGTGGCCTGGGTTCCAGAAGTTGCTTTTCTTTTTTTTTCTCTTTTTTTCTCTTTTTTTCTCAGACAAGCTGTTGTGCAGAATATCAACACAGCTGTGTATGCAGGACTTTAAACATAGTTTAAACATCCGTTTAGAAGCACATTAAAAAGCACTTAACCCTAATTTCAACTATACAATGGCATTTAATTACATAATGGTGTGTGTGTGTGTGTGTGTGTGTGTGTGTGTGTGCGCGTGTGTGTGCGTGTGTGTGCGTGTGTGTGTGTGTGTGTGTGTGTGTGTGTGTATAAGACCACTATACTGCCATTCATACTTTAACACTACAACATCCCATATTAACTAACCTGTAAAAACTTAGCCCCGTTCACATTTCCATGGTAGTAGCAGCGTCTCTGATTGGTGGATCTCGCTATAGCATTGCTTGTAGTGTAGACATAAGCTTCAATTCTGCCATTGAACACGCTCGCTATTAAAGCTCATATTAAATCTCCATGTCATTTGAATCACATTTTTACTTCAGTAACCCATCTGGTACAGTGCGCATATGCCTAGAAACAAATCCCATTCTTAAATGGGTGTGTGACAAATGCTAAGCATCAGGCAAGTGATAAAGCATAAGCTATTCCATACATCTACTATTATTGACCTTAAAGAAAGTCGTTTTAGTGCCGCCTCTTGATGCTTTTTTGAAAATTAAGAAGAATGAAAGGCTCTGACCTTGCTGAGCTTTTGATCGAAGGCAAAGATAGCACTTAAGACCATGCTTTTAAGGCTTTTGGGAGTCTTAAGTACCAAGAGACTCAAACAAAATAAAACTACAAACATTGTCAGGTATTGAAGAAGATAGTTTTTGACTAAACCACAGAAAATATTCCAGCCAGACACTGCTCCCATGCTGTCAAATCCAATATCCTAATTCTCACATCACACCGCAAACGCTATCCTGCGGTTTCATTCGGATTTACTATGGAATAGCCACTCTGAGCCAACTGGCTATGATCCTTCTCCACAGGCTGTTAGAAGAAGAAGATGGGAAAAAAAAGGTAAAACAGTGTTCCTAATATGCCTGTCACTCTGACTGTAATGCGTCTCTGTGTTTGGGACATTAGTGTGGCTCATCCTGTGAGGTTGAGGCAAATAAAAAGGTTTGTTTGCCTCAGAGGCAGCTGTGGCATGGCATCTCTGCTGCCTCAGATACTATAATGAAGGGATAATCCTCTCATTTAGCCACAGACAGGGGATATATTTTGCTCTGTTTTTGTGATGGGTGAGGTGTGTGTGTGTATAACAGTGCATTACACAGCAGCAGAATAAACATTAAAACACTATCAGGATGAAGGGGTAACTGGGATGAACAGCTTGGGATGTTTGGACGCGTGACAGAAAAAGAGAAACTCACAGCGTCATCTGGATGGAGGGTGGATGACGTGTAGAACGAAAGGGGTGATGTAAAAAAAGTCTGAGGCTTTTAAAAGACTATTAAAGCAGTCCATACAACTTGTGCACTTTATGCCAAGTCTTCTGAAGCCATATGAAGCTCTGTGTGAGGAACAGCCTGAAATGGTGACAGAATTTCTGGATTAGCTATTTCAGTAACACTTTACAATAAAGTTTAATTAGTTAACTACTTTAGTTAAAGGTGCTCTAAGCGATGTCAAGCGTTTTTTAGGGCAAAACATTTTTTGTCACATACAGCAAACATCTCCTCACTATTCGCTGGCTGCCTGTCCCCTGAACACACTGTATAGAAACGCGATCTCTGTAGACAGCCCAGGCTCCACACACAGCAACAAAAACAAACTGCGGCGACCCGCTCCCCGAAACATGACAAACAGTTCCAGCCAATCACCGACAAGAAGGACTTGGGGGCGGGGTTTGGGGGGTTAGTGCGTGGATGAGGAGGAGGGAGGGTCTAGCTAGCCTCCGTTTTGTTTGACAATACTTTAAACGTCAACAAGAAGTGACGTCACCCGACATCGCTTAGAGAACCTTTAACATGAACAAAAATGAACAATACTTCTACAGCATTTATTCATCTAACGGCCGTTTCACACCGCGAACGTCAGCGCAACTACATCGTCACATCGCGAGTATTCACACTGGAAGCGTTTGTACAGCGTCACAGCAGCGGCTTCATGTTGGCCTAAGCGAGCATTTCTTTACAAAGACAACTATAAATTTGTTTTTAGAAGTTGGTCATTAATAAACCTGATAGTCTTGAAGTTTGTTAAGATGTGGAGGTGTGCAATTGCATGTAAATGGTAAACAACAAAAACATCAAAGAAAACAGCTCTGATCTTGTACTTCATACTGTACTTTGATATGTTTACAAGACAGTAAACATACAAAAATACATTAAAAAAACCCGTCTGTGTATTACATAAACTAAAAGAAGGCTTATATATATCATATTTTCTGGCTAGTTTATTAGTTGTTTTTCTTATAATACACTGTAAGACTGAAAAAACTGGAAGAACTGGAAGAGAGGGCTACTCTCTGAGAGAACAAAGGAAATTAACATTTGAACTCACTCTTGTGAATGCAGCATCACATTCTCACAAGTCTCATCTCAGAATCATCCTAATCTACATGTCTTTCCCACTTCCCCCACTCTCTCTCTTTTTCATGCTGAGATCACCTGAAATTCACCCAAGAAATATAGTTTAATGTGAATAATTATCATACAGCATTACACATGTTTGATATCATTTGTAATGTCTCAGTGCGACTGGTACAAAGGTTTCATTCCCAAAGAAGTAAAACAAAAGGTAATAATGTTCTTTAATGTAATAATGAGTTTGGAAGTGTCTTGCACACGGGGGGTGTGTCT